AACTTTTGAGGGACAATTGTTACGATTTTAACGAGTAATTTTATTGGAAATTTAGAATACTATAATAATAATTAAATTAAAAAAGTACTACTTGTCCATTCATTTATTTATTCATTACAGCCTATAAAAATCCACTACTGAACATAGACTGACGTCCTTCCACACAGATTTTCTCGTTAAGAAGAAGAAGAAGAGATATTTGCCATAGTTGCCACGCTTGGCAGACAAGTTTACAACTACAGATTTAAAGTGATTATAATCTTACCCCATAACTACAACTAACAATTTTTGAAAGAATAAAGAAAGTAAATGAAATAAAAAATATTTATTCGTAGCCACAACAAAATATAGCACATTAAATTAAAAAAGAAGACAAAGAAAAAATATTATATCGAACTGCAGCAGCTGACAAAATTTAAGTTTCAACAAAATATTAATTGTTACGAAGTTATTATCTGGATATAAATTAATATTCAGAAAAAAAAGAAGAATAAAGCACTCTAAACTTAGGGAATCTAGGAAAGATAAAATTGAACGCGATTAAATCTTTAAAATTAGGTTTATTCAACGTGCAGTATTCGCGTTACTACAAGAAATCAGTATGATTCGTGGTCAGGGCAAAACAATTACTCTGTTTTTCCTTATCAACAAATTTTAACTAGCAGCCTTAACTTCGGAAGTTGGTGGTGATTAACCTCCGTGTCGAGGAAAGCACGTAATGCACGTTGGTCCAGCGTCGGATTGCTATCCTATCAGACTATAATAGTGAATGAATACTACTATAATCCCGGCCTGAACAAGTGCTTCGTTAAGACTGGCTACCATAACCAAAATTCGGTCTGGAAAACTTTATTAATCCTTCAAGCGCCATTAAAATCCCATGCAGTCGCATGTGCCCGGCAAATCCCGAGCGGATGCATGCGACCGCATCCACCCACAACACTTAAAACTATTAAAACTTATATTTAGAGACTACTTTTCTATGAAAAAGTTTAGCATTATAATATTTTTACAAAATTGTCTATCTTGTGGTCTAAACAAAAGTCAGGTTTTACTCCATTACAAAAAGATTTTATTGTATTTTGATAACAAAAAACATACCAAGCGAATGTCGGCAGCGTGGAAATCACAATTATTTTAATATATACCGATTGAAATAATTTGCCTTAAAAGATAAATTATATTCACACAAAAACTTTCTTTACAATTTTATAATAAAACACTATACTAAAACACTAGAAAAATCCAAAATCAACAAAATAACAGTCACGCGAAAATGGCGTACGAAATAAACGTAGATTATAAATAAATTCATTGCATATCAGTTTTTTTATTGCACCAGAGGATAGAGTATTTTATTTTGATTATATAGTGCCAAACTTCTTCATTGATAAGTAGTCTCTATATATAAGTTTTATGGGTTAAAGTGCTGTGGGTTGGTGTGGCCTCATGAGACCGGTAGGGATTTGACGGAATATGGCCGCGATCTCATGAGACCGCTAGGGGGTTGAGAGGTATATACTTGAATATCAACCTACATAAACGATAAGACTAGTATACTGTGCCGTTAATTACTAACCGAAGCCAACGTTTATGAACACGCTTATTGATGAGTTTTGCTATAGTTTTCCAATGTACCTCAGTCATTGAAATACTCTTAAGCCTCACCCCAAATGTCCGCTTGAATATTCTCCCAGGTCTACCTAAATTACAGAATTTTTTGATACAATTGGCATACTTCACAAAACAGTTTCTTTTGTTATCTGAATATATCGGCTAAAACATAGAGTACTATAATACTTACTTACTACTACTAATATTTTGTACGAGGTTTGGCGTCGCAAAACCCGATTCGCTGTGTTGACAGACTGAATAAATTTACACATTTTAGACTTTTGATTAATGTTCAAGATCATCATTAAAAAATCGTTTAAATTTTAATACATATTTATTTGTAAATAGGGTGCAATTTGGCATTTTTAAATAATTTGCATGCGAAAATTGGAAGTGATTGTAACGTCAAAATACATTTCGTGTTGACATTTATACGTGTGCATTGACGTCTTAGTGACATTTTAGTGGCTACGTGGGCTCCGCCCTCTCCCCCGTTCTATTATGTATGTATTATAGTATTCTATGGGCTAGACCATTTATAAACTTTTTTAATTTAGTCATATTTTCGAATATCTATTTGACACGTGATAAGAAATAAAACAATTGTAAAATTTTCACATATTTATTGAACAATATTTCAAATAATTTTATTTAGTATTGTTCAAAATTTGTATAATATATTGTATATTTTAAATAGAATGCTTTACAATAAGATACAAGCCCTGTTCATTCACTGTAAGCCTTATGATCTATCTTCACGATATCTATCTCCAACGGAGACACTGCGAGTAGTATTTTAAAATAAAAAATAAAAACACACACAAAAACCTTTCGTCGAGTTTGGAAAGGAATATTATGAGTATATTTTAAGTAAAGTACAGTATGCCAGTAATAGTGATATTACCTTTTTTGATAGTTTTATATGGTATTTCAAAATATTCTATGCTATTTCCAGATGTTTGTCTGTGAATTTAAGAAAAAAAGATTATTATATTTTTTATCCAATTTTTGTGCTCGTACTCGTACTTGTAATATCCTTTCTTGTCAACTACTAAAGTTTCCGTATCTCCATTGGACTAGCTCGTTTTACCTATTATTTACCTCCAGAACCTCACTTATTTCTTTAGATTACATATTATTTCGTTTTAAGCAAGTACAAAACCAAAAAATACGTATAAATAATTATGTATTTCATAATAAATGTTATGGAAATTATAGTCTCTTCTACGTGGTCCACCATCATCGTTCGAAAAGACTTATGCAATTGAATTAGAAAAGTATAAAATAAACATTAAACATTATAATATGCGGATTTAATTTAAGTACAATATTTTGTCTAATTGGTACATTTTTAATCTCATTATGCGATGCGTAGAAGCAACATTTATTATAGCTATAAATATAAATATATTAAATTATATAATTATACATTTATTTTAGTAAACTAAATCTTGTGCTATCTAAACCATTACATTATAATTATTGCATTTTATGCGTTAATACATATAAATGTTCAGAAGAATTTAAAAATAAATCCCTTCTGGTGTATGGATATATGAAACTATATCACATAATCGAAAGCCGTGAATTATTATTACATATTATTATTCAATAAAACATCGAGGGTCCCACGATTTAGACATTATTTTCAAAGTAAATACAAAGTGACAAAAATTTTATATAAGGAATTTTTTGTAGAAAATTAGTTACTTATTATGAAATGAGCATTTTAGAATAGAAGTGGACTATTTAAACAGTCGATAATTTTTTTGACAGATTTTAATATGCTTTTAAAATAGTTATCAGAAGCGAAACACACAGGTCTTGTAATGTTCACATATGTAATTCCTACTCCGTTTTCCCACATCATTCAATATTTTATTTCCTTATTTATAAATGGACTAATGTATAAAAACAAAAATAATTTAATAATTACTTGGACATTTTAATTACTCTGTTCAAGAGCTGCTTTTAAACAAAAGGAATTTTGTTAACGCTATCTACTCTTATCCAGCTAATTTTCATTATTTATTTATTTATACATGTATCATTAATACAACACCAAGAACGATAGAAAGTGCGGATGATATGTTTCTAGTGATGTTATTTGTATCTGTTGAAATATGAAATATTAAACGCTACATATATTTTTATATTTACATATAATTCAACTTTAATTTATTTCATAAATTAACTATAATGAGGGGTTTAAGAAATATATTGTACAATATTCATCCCTCTCTACTGATGAATGAAATAACAAGTAGTGCACTTGCATGAATATTTGATGATTGCTTTGTAATGATAAAAAATTTAATGTAAAGATAGGGGTTAAATATAATATCATGAAACGAAAAGGATTCAACCCAGTAAACTTGTACTGCACGCGATGGAAACTGTAAATTTGGTATTAAGATAAGAATATTATTATGATTAATAAAGATTGTATCGTATTCAATTGTAAGCACTTAAGATAATGGAATAAGATATGTGAATAAATTCTACAGTAATATTTTAGCGTATATTTTCCAACCGGAGTCCCATATATTCTACACCTTAATATTGATTTAAAGTCATCGTTGACAGCATTTTTACCATAATCACCAGTTGCATTCCTGCTCTTTTAATTTTTGCCACTGCTGTTGCTTTTTAACTTAGGCCAAATCTAAATGTTTGGGACCAAACAGTGTCATGAGAGTATATAATTATTTCCCACAAATTGTCTGTAGGGAGAAAATGGAATCAAGATATTTCGACAAAGCTAGTCCTTTTCTTTTTCTTTTCTTGTTTTTAAAATTATCAAAGTAATTTATTTTTCTTTTCTAATAAGCTTACAATTTTGATTTAAAGGGCATTTTATCATTGTAAGATTAAAATTAAATGTTACTACTAAATATTCAAGTTGAATAATAATAATTATAGTTGAATATTTCCGGGTGAAAGATGTATGTGTTCTGTATTTTTACAAAGGAAATTAAAATAAATAAATAAATTTTAATTTTTAAAGGCTCCGTTTTGAGGAAACATAAAAATATCTTGGAGAAAAAGGGAACTTTTATGAGTCAAACAGACAATTATAAATTAAGACAATATCTTAAAGGTTAATACCATAAAATTTGTTGTAAAATGAATAATATTATGAAAGGAATATAATGATTAGGTGAATAATGAGCTTAACTGCAACAATTTAAAATTTGAATAAGTAACGTAAAAAAGTTTTACGAATAAAGTAGTGCTTCCGTTTACAGGTCTCAAATTTTCCTTAACATTAAGTGTATTGATAATTTATTAAAATATGTCTCTTTTTAACTAAGCCTTCAGATACACATATGTAATACACAAAATTTACTAAAATTAACAACGGTATTTGCACATTTATATTACTGTTAGGTAGAAGCGGATGATTTTCTTTTCTCAACTTTATTATCTCTCAGTTTTGTTTCATCCAATGATTCAATTTTATGGTCTCTCAATAAAGGTGTTCTCGCATCAGTTTTATCTTCTATATTTTTGTCAATATAAAGTTCAGTACTAAAGTTGTTTGATTTTACTGTGCCATTGCTTTCAGATAATTCTTGGCAGCTATTAGGTTTACTTCCATTGGCATGTTTCTCCTGATCGTCAGATTTCTCATTATGAAAGGCCATATTATCAAAACATTGCACTGGTACTATGTTCACTGATTTCATCATTGGTATTGCTATAGCGAGTGCTGGACTTAAATCACGTGGACTTGGCGTTAGACGCGTTGAAACTGTTAAGTCCATTCCTGACATTAGGCTTGCGACTGTTGGAGATAAAATAAAAGAGATGAGATTGTTTTGTAAGGAATACTAAACTTCTGTGTTAAATAATTTTGAAATTAATATAGACTCTCAACTGAACTGACCATTCAGTTAATATAACTTTATTAAATAACATAAAGTATATTAATGTTTCATTAAAGTTTTAATGTTAATAAGAGGGCAAAATATTAAAAAAGCTATTGTAAGGAAAAACATATATTGTATTCAAAATTATTCATTATTCATGCTTACGAGTACAACATGCGAAAAACGCAAATTAATAGTAAAAAATATTTTATTAACGTTTACCAGTAGTAATACAGCAATACGAATGGAGATAAATGTTTTGCTAGAAAAACCATAGAATTCTAAATTATATCCAAGCAGCTATCTCTCGTAAAACGTCATTGCACTCAAAATTGTTACTGGTAATGATTTTGTATGGTACGCTCTTAGATGCTAATAGCATAGCTATTGAAAACAAAACATTACAAATAATTACAGATATACTGGTAGAGTCTATATATTTGCCACAAATCACAGTAGGAAACACATAAGGGTTAGTAAATTTAATTTGTAAGAAACGGAAACATTCGGACCTCTCATATTCAGTGTGAAAACCATCGTAGCAATAAATAAATATACTTTTGTGTTGATCAGTTAAACTTATTTGCAGCTGAATAACTTGCAAACATTTTTTAAACTTTAAGATAATTATTCTAAACACTATCATTTTAGCGATTATTATAAATTATAGTTAATAATCACCACGGTTTTCATCACTAGGTTATTTCTTAAAATAATTTCCCGTTCTCTCCACCTCCAGGTGAGCAGATGATATTGTTACGTATGTACCATTGTTTCTTTTTATTTTATGAAATATACGTTTTTCGAAATATATTTGTTACGATAACCTTCACACTGCTATTGTCTCTGAAAATTCATTGTTAGTTTTGCAAATTGAAAACATCTGTACGTGTACCGCCGTATTGAGTTGTATTTGTGTTGCTGCAGGACTCGTGTTACAATGAACAGAAGATTGGTGATTATTGCCTGAAAAAAATCTTAAAAGTTAAGTCTTTCTAATGAATGCATGACAAGATCTATAATAAACATTAAATTAAATTTACAATATGTCAGCATTCATAAGTTAATATGTCACACTTATATTTTAAATGCTTATCATAAATATATATTAATAAAAGCACAGATAAAAATGTTTAAATGTTGTATAATTCTAATATATGATGTTTTATTGATTTAACAGATCTACATCAAATAAGTTCCTATAACAACATTTAATTTGTACAAGCGGCAAAGCATCTAGCTATTGCAGGTTCGCGGAAAATATTGACAAAACTGTGCCGAACCTTCTTGTTGTCACCGATGAAGCAATGGGACCTAGGTGATGACTTCTTTGTGCTGCTTGAAGATACCGTATAGTGCAAAATGGTGATGAGAATGATGTCAGGTTAGTTATGAGTAAAGTTTCAGCATTCCCTTAAGCTAATTCCTGTGTGCAGGCGACATACTAAGCTCGTTCTGGGAGCATTCGGCGCCAGTTAAGTGCTTTGCTTTTTATAGCATGTTTAGATTTTTTCTTTTGCAGTTGTTTGGTGTAGTTTGGATCATAGCCTCAAGCTCGCTACGATCACCATCTGTGAAGGATTACACTGCATAAGCTATGGTTAGTCTGGTGAGTATCTAAATCAGAAAATAATTAGTAATATTATAAGTTTCACGTCCTCAGTAAATAACTTGCGTAATCTAAAATTTGTACTCTGGAATATTACTTATGAAATTAATAAAAGTCGTTATTTACTGAGAATGCTTTGAAAAAAAAAATTATAATATAATAAATATATTTACTTTCTTCGTTTTTAAAAATCAGATCGACCTGAAAACCTCTGTGTTAGAGTTTTCTGTAGGGTTTTAGTAAAAGCTTTAGCAATTTTATAATTACTAATTTTAATGTTTATTACTGCTGTATGTACTTACGATTGTGGTTGGTTGAAAAAAGTGTCTCATACAAATACTTCTACATGTGAAACACTTAGAAGCCCAATTAACAAAATCTTTAAGTCTAAAATTAAAGTAATATATAGATCTTAACCATTCTTAAAAATTATTTTCATGTTAATTCGACCTCAAAGTGTAGTTTCAACCCAACATATTTTTCTAATTTTTATTGCTTAGATACTTGTAACGAGCAGTCTTTTTTGGTAAGTAGATTAAAAAAGTAAAAGAATTAAAGTAGTACGGATCGTGCATATTTACAACAATGATATTTATATCAGTGAAACCAAACTTTGCAATATTATACTCAGATAGTTTGTTATATTTATAACATTTTAAATATAATCATTTAATAAAAGTGCAAAATATGTTTATATGGTAATATCTTTATGTTATTATTCGTCGCTCCTAATAAATAATGTGTACAATATAAGGATACGGAGGACTTACCCATGTTAGGTCCCATCATATCCTTAGGGTGGTTGGTTTTAATAGCATTCATCCTTCTATTAACCGCTTGGGGTCCCATTCCTGGCGCTGTGTGACCAACTGGTCCTCCGGGCACACCTGGTGCTCCTGCATTTGTAGTATATTAATTTAAATTTTAGCCTAAAGCTACATTAATTTTGCTTGGCTCTAATTATTTCTTCATCTAAGATTTCATTCAAAATATTTTAAAGAAATCCAGATCATGGCGGAAAGGAATCATCTTATAACCATTTGTTAGACAAAGTGGTAATCATAGTACCAGATCGATCATTTTAGACGCTGCTACCAATTGTCGTTTTAAAAGCCTTTAATGTCTCACTACTGGACAGAACTGCACAAGATTGTTGTCATTCTAGAGAGTATTTCACCGCTTAATAGATAGTTATTCTTCCATCTGTCGAAGGTCTCCAGACTTCCTTTAAACATCTTCAAATAAGAATGTCATTTCCCTCAGTTGACTCTCTTTAGTCCCTTCGTCCCTTAGTCTTTGCGACACGGTGATTATTCCGACTATAAGAAAGGCCATGTCCAGTAGAGGAATGTTCTTGGCTTTAATGGTGATTTATTAGTAAGCTATTAAAGTTACTCATTTTTAAGTTTCAGGTTTTAAATTTTTAAACAAATACAATTTTATAAGTAAATGAAAACACTTACTAAGAGGTGGCCTGGTTGGCTCAACGTTGATAACTCTTCGTCTCTTTTTTGGCAATTTCGCTCTCGCTTGCGTATGTGAATAATACATAGCAAAATTGGATACGATAACTGGTACTGGTAACGCTATAGTCAGCACCTGTTGGTTTTGAGTGGTATTAGTGGTTTCATTTAATGATGAGCAAATAATGTCAATCATTTAATTAATATATTATTAATTTTAAAGTATATAAATAAGAAAATTCGTTAAAATATTACAACTAAATCTAATATAACACATTATTATATTATACGGTATTAAAGAGACTATAACGATTCATTTTTTATTATTATTGACCAAAAATGACAAAAAATCAAGAATATACCATTATATTTACAATTTAAATAAATATTACTATGTAGTGACAGTGTAAGAATATTCACTATCACATATCATTCCGTGGGTGTAAGAGTAAGAGAAGACAGAGTGAGACAAATCAGGAGATGGGCAGCTGTGTCTTCCTAATAACTACTAACAATAAAAAAACTGCAATTGTCAATCCGCTTGCGAAGCGTGGCAACTATAGCAAATATCTATAGGATATGAGGCAATCTATAGAGGAGGCCAATGTTCAGCGATGGCCTTTAATAGGTTGTAAAAGTAACGATAATGATAAACAAATATTTGGTATCTCACAGTCGTAGTAACACTATATCACATAATTAGTAATGACGTATGATTACAGTTACACTAAAATAATAAATAGTAAATTAACTATAGATAATAGTAATTTTTTGATTGTTAAATTGTATTGACTATATTCATAAGTACATTAACAGTAAGCCAAGTAGGCGATTTTAAAGTATTATAGTATTAATTTAGAAAAAAAAACTTAATTATAATCATAACTTTCGAATGAAATAATATTTAAACCATTGCGAGCAATTTATACCATGAAAGAATAAAATGCATGAAGTACTTACACCAGCCAAAGCACAAAGTGCACCAACAAACATGCCAACGTAAGTTTTCGGTGCCATATCACCATAACCGACAGTTGTCATCGTAACCAGAGCCCACCACAGTCCTAATGGTATGCTGTTGAAATCGTTATGAGGATTTGTTTGTATACGCTCTGCATAATAAACTAGACTTGCAAAAATGACTATGCCGAGTACAAGAAAGAAAACTAAAAGAGTCAATTCTTTCGCCGATGCTCTGAAGGTTTGTATCAATATTTTCAGACCGGACGAATGTCTGGTCAATTTGAATAGTCTCATTATTCTTATTATTGAGAAAAACTCTAAAATATCAGCGTTCTCGACGTGAGAAGCATATTTTTGGAGCATCAAGTCAATGTAAAAGCTCATTGTAGCAATGTAATCAATGATGTTGACGGACGATTTTACGAACTCCCATTTATTTGGCGACGATATGAATCGCACGAGGATCTCGAGTGTGAACCACGCATTACACACGCACTCAATATAGAAAAAAGCAACGTGGGCGTTTGTTTGCACTTTGTCTAATGCCCAGCTTTGCGTTTGGTTAGCCGTTGTTACCGTATAGTTCCTTATCACTGGCACTCTCATATCTGGATGAGTTTTCAAACAAAATGATATAATCGATACGCATATAAAAAACACTGAAATCACACCAATTATCTGTAACAAACAAATGAACACTTGTTATTTATAAATTTAGGAAAAATATCACTCAATCATTCAAATTTGGCTAAGTAGAGCAAAGTCGCAGTTATTATATTATTATGGATTATTATATTATATTATTGTAGTAGCACAAATGGATCGACTTGACCGGGTTAGGACCACGCTGTCACAGGATACTTGCGGAAAATTGCAGCTTAATGCTGCTGAGTTTTATATAGTGAGTGTAGAGTAACGGAGACCCATTTTACTGAAAACCATGCATTCCATCTTAGTAATCGGAGGTGACAGCACATCATTATTTCGATTCTTAATTGAGAATAAATGTAGATGTCTATATGCCACAGGCCACAGCATCCACTTACCATCAGGTGAACATTATGATCTTTTGTTATCCTATAAAAAACTGTCAATCAGCAGATAAAAGTTATCAATTAACTAAATTATAACCTGAATGAACCTAAAAAACGAACAAGTGAATTATTTATATATACAACTATGTATATCATTATTATTTATGCAACCATGACATCAAATTTTTAAAATAACTGCTAATTGGTGAAAATAATGAGAAAAGAGAAATTAAAAGACAATATTGGATAAATTAGAATTAATTTTACACAATATTATGTTAAATTATCCAAACCTACAAAAATATTATGTAACTAGCATACCAACTTTAATCAAAGAAGACTACAGATGCGTTTTCATCTCTGAGGACTAAGGTGGAATTCCTCAAAGACTGTAATTGTAATGACTCTTAATAAACTTCCAACTCGAACACAGCAGTGCATCTGCTATTAGTGGTACATACCCAGACAAACTCCTTGGCAGAAAAGGAATTCTACCACCAGAACTCCAGCCACAATGAAGTTCTGGTTGTATTATCAGTTCATTCAGCTCCATGCACTTCCTGAAATACCGGTGCTTAAAAAATTCATACTTTACCTTTGCTGCGTTAGAACTGTAAGGCTCATCAAATAAGGACCACATTTGAGGTTTGAGCTGTTGCCACCAGGACACTGTTCCATTATAGTAATCCTCTTCGAAACCAAATTTACGAGCAACCTCTTCATCAGATGGTTTCTCTGTGTCTAGGTCAAGACGGTCAAGGACGGCAAGGGTCTCTTGGGTGTCCCGATGCTATAAGCAAATAAAGTTTCAGTTATGTGTGTAGTTGTGTTGATTTAGTAAATTTTATTACAACATGCAAATATAACTTCAACAGGAGAATTTCACTAATTTTTTTTGATTATTTTTACAAAAGTTTTCGTATATCACACACAGGATGTCCTATGTATCACATATATAATATATTATTTTACCTGTTATATTAGGTTCTTTTAGCGTCTTAAAACGGTAAGAGAATCTATGGATTATTAAAAGAGAATGTTAGTAATGCTGCAGCAGAAATAAGTCTAACGAATGATAAAGAATCTCGCTCACACAGAGTACCATCGTGATGCAGCTGCATTATGTTGTATTTCGTATGGTGACTAACGTAAACCGGATACCCTTTTAAGCCAAACTAAAATTAAAACACATCTTTGTTTTGATTCTTTACCGAAGTTCGATGTAGGTGTTGTCGTTATTAAGAAATCTCAGATTTGGAGGTAAACTTACTAAACTTGACAGAAATATCCAGATCAGTGATAATCAGTAGAGACGCTTGTTTATTAGCCTGCATGTGGGACAGATAATAATGACTAGGGATAAATAGATGCAATCATAATGAGTAGGCATAACAATTTTTTAACGAAAAATTCCAGACTGAGCTGGAAAATAAGGGGGGAGACATCAGTTCAGAATAAGCTGGGTAACATTTGAAGCAGCACATTTTTACAGACCGATGATAATGACGAGGGACACATTTTAGTGTTAAAGTTAAAGTGCTTTATAATATACTCAGATGACTAATATTAGTTTTCAGAACCATACCATAAGGTAGCAAAAATATCCAAACATTTTTATGATAGTTAAGAAAGTAAAAAAAAAGAAATAACATATTTATTAGTTACTACAATCGGATAGGAAACATTAATATAACACAATAATAATCTCATAAAAAACAAATTTTACTTTAGACTGCAGCAACGAAAGGAACAAATTACCTGAGTGTAAGTCATCCAACAACATGGCTCCACTTGATTCGCGTCTAGACCCCAAAACTCGAGTTCCTCTTCGAAAAGCGGCCCGCACACATCCGTAGGATAATGGAGTTTTCCCGTCCTAAATCATTTAAACATATAATATGTGTAAATATTAGGAATATTGTGACATGAGAGTGAAATGATTATTCTTTTTTATAAAATGAGTATCAATACAGTCAGAAAAATTTAGAAGTATATCTATCTATCCATATAAAAGTAAGCTAAGGCCTATGAGTACACCATTGTGTGCAGTTTTGTACGTAGGAATATTTACAATATTATCAGAATCATCATAATTGGTCATTTAAAAACGTACTTTATTAATCCAATAACATAACAAACTTAAAATATAATAATACATACTATTTCTAATATAATTTATACAAAAAATACATAATATTTAGTCCAAACAGCCTGTATATACTTCTTAAACCAAACATTATCTCATGTTTATTCGTTCTAGTATTTGTAATCGCATCTGATTGTCCAAACATAATTTGTAATCACAAAAATTAAAAGGTTTACTCTCAAAAGACGGCAAATACAGTGTGCAGACAAATCCTAGATAGGTTGAAACTGCACTGTTGTTATAAATTGTGTACCTATATAACGTACTTTTGCTATTATATATATATATATATATATATATATATATATATATATATATATATATATATATATATATATATATATATTATAACGATATATAAATATAAAACAAAAATAAAATTAAAAATGGGCTGACCTCGCACGACTGGAGTTTACTACTAATGAAACATTGGGACCAGTTTGAATTAATTGTGTAATTAAAATTGAGTGTCGTTTGTTATTTTTTATTCTTAACGGGATTGCGAAATATATTGTTTCAGATACATATGTGTTGTTGGTGATTGTTATATTTATGCTGAAGAAAATAAACCATTCAACTTGTTGAAACTAACACATAAATAACATTATCAACAAAGTGTCCTTGTATTTGAATAAAAAAACCAAAAAGCAACTAATATTTTAACCATTCATATTAAGTTTAAAAAAACTTTGGACTCATAAAATAAACTCAACCTTAATCGCTATTTTTACATGAGTTCAACATAATATGGGTGATTTTGTTGCTCGGACGGGTAATAAAACCACTGCAGTTTCTGTTAACATTCGATTTAGCTCCCATCTAATTTGTGTACCGCAGGCTAAATAAGATAAAAAAAATCGATATTTAAGAAGTAAACTCCAAACATCATCATTCATACTTATGCTACAAGTTACATTATCACAATATTCTACCGAAAGTCTCATTTCAATATTAACATCCGTTGTTATACATTATGGTAATGATGTACCTAGTGATATATTTCAGCTCACAAAGAACTCATCTGCACGGCTTTCCTATATACGAATTTTTAATAAAAGCTCGAAAAAGTCGCTCCAAGTCCCTGTATCCATATTGCTTACAAAAGTTTGCCCTCGATTAAAGTTTGGATTATCATCCTTGATTAATATTTTGAATAATAATGGTTACATGTAGGGAAACTTAACATCCAAATATTCCATATGTGTTCCAGGAATTTCATTAAGCCCGGATCTAATAATATTACGTCTCCGATATGCCGTCAACTACCCCAAAAACTTTTAAACTGCAATCTGTAAATCAATATCTTGTAGATTGCTCTGACAAAGCATCAATCAATCTTGGACATAGAACTTGACCCGAATTACTTCGGAGACAGGCTAACTTCCACAAATTATTCGGCTTCTATTAATGGAAATCAATGTGTGCCTTTCTATGTAGATGTTTAGAAACAATAGATACCTACTGCGATTGAATTGAAATGGAAAATACGTGTACTTTCGGGAATGAAATGGGTTTGGAGTCTATTACACGCATAAATGCGTTGATGCTTTGTAATTTACCGATACTTTTAGAAGCGGTTGGGAGGGTGGAAATGGTTGACTGCGTGAATAAGGGATCGGATAGCTTGACTAGTGAGTTATGGATCTAGGATTGAAATCAGCTGTCATGTATGTTAAAACATGATTGATTGTTTTCATATCCATTCCGCTGTATTTAGCGTACCTCTGATTTTATCATGATCGTTATCGTGTATCGAGGATGAATAGATCAATATGAGTAAGTGCTGCCGTGTCTAACTTTATTCAAAAATTGACGATATATTTGATCACCACTATTACCATATGAATATGTACTTATCACGCAGTATTGGCTTTATCTCTATTATTATACATACTTATTATATAGTCAAACTAAACAGTTTGTGTTGTAGTTTGTAATGCAATAAAGCACATATTTACAATGTCTTCAAGACAAGAGTTAATAGGATTTATAAAGGCATCTATAAATGCTTGTTTAGCTTCACCGTGGCTGTTCATGGAGTCATCAATTTATGGAGTTTAGAAACTTTGAGAGTCGGAGAATGTGGGTTAGGAATTGGGTAGTTTTCAACCAAACGCCTATTGTATGCTGATGCTTAAATTATAATTGTGTCCTCGGCGGGTGAATTTCAAATGATGGTTACATTAAATATCATATAAGAGATGAAAATGAATGTAACTGAGACGAAGTTTCGTCTTTGAAAGAAAAGAAAAAAAAAAACGATGTGTTACATATACGATATGTAAAGAGGTGTAGTTTGAGCAAAATGAGTAATTTGTGTATTTAATGTAATTAGCAGGTATGGTATATTTGAGAAGGATATAGAAGGAAAAGTGAATGCTGGCCGTAGACTGAATGAGTATCTTCACTTTATTGTGGAAAGTCACGTCATTCAGAAGAAGCAGAGAGTAAAAGTAATGCTGTGTAAATATGGCCGTTAAAATAAGAAATAGTGTGATAAAGTAACGTTATGATTTACAAGACTTTGTTGTGATCAGGATTAAGAAAGGAATTTTTCGTTGGTTTGGACACTGAAGATAGAAAGTCTGAAAAAAGAGGGATAAAGAAAATTCATGTGCAGAAGTGAGTGGGTGAGTTGTCAAGGGACAGCCCAGACGTAAGTTTATCAACTATTATATAATATGCTAGGCAATATGCTAAAAATGGTCTAATTAAAGAGTAACTTTAACAAACGAATATACGAATATGTATGTACAGTATGGTAGGAAACGGAAGTCCGTTTTCTCTGTCAACCTATTTAGCTAACAGGCGTGAGATTTTATTATTATATATTACACATATATGAAACTAAACTTTCAAAACTTTATTTTTTAAATATACAATTTTAAATCATAATTGAATTTTATATATCTTGTATGTCAAATTTGATTTTATAAAAATAAACCTTTATATACATCACCTACTTTTTTTAGATATTCGACGTTGTAGGACGTACGGAATTTCTTCGTTGCCGTTTCTTTTCCGATCAGAGGAAACTCATTTCGATACAGTAGTAGATTTGGTATGTTTAAAAAATTACATTTGGCAAACGAAAATTTAAAGACCCACACAAGGCATCTCATTACAAACATAGAATCAAAATTGACACGCACACTATTTGGCTAACCATATATGAGAGCTCTGAAGCAGATAAACATACCAGAGAATTACTACCGACTTTGTATCTCGTACGGGAACATAGTGCGACTCAGAATATGAGCTTCCACTTTACTCAGGTCCTCACCGGCCACGAATACCGTAAGAGTTATCCATGCAGATTTAAAATCACCACCGATGACAAATGTTGTTACGATTATTGAGCTTCGCAAACTATTGAACATCTACTGCAACAATATCCCACTTTTATCGTCGCGAGAAATGATCATGAGTTTATCTGTAGCATTTTCGGTGTTTAACTTTAATATAGCCGAACTCATTAAGAAGGAATCAACTCTGAACTCTTTTAAAATAGACTTTAGTTGTTTAGAAGCAATTGTACATAGAGTTAAAAAATTTAATAATACCTAGATATAAGAAATAGCACTTAAGCATAATAGCACTAAGCATAATAGGATACGTAAAATAACATTAAATTATAACAACAAACTAGACATAACATTTTGTTTTATATTATTGTAATTAAAGCTTGATTTTGTGATTAACTTTAATATTTTATTTTTACTAATATACAGACAAAATGTCACAAATTGAGAAACTTTTCTTTTGTATTAATGATTTTGTGTTAGCGACATTTTTTTTTGATTATCATAATGTTTGAATTTTCTTCTTGGTTTATTTTATCACTAAACTACTAGTACTAGAACATGTAAATGAAATTGTATTGGGGAGTGCTTTCAGCCGGGATGGAAGATGTGATTTAGATGTGGAGAGGCGTGTCGCTGCCGGGAACAAAGTCAGTGGTGCCCTGAATGCGTTAGTCAAAAGGCAAGGCGTAGTGAAGGGTGCACGCCTTGCAATACATAACGCAGTGTTGGTGCCGACTTTGTTATATGGCAGCGAAACCAGGGTATGCCAGAAGAAGCATAAAAGCAAGTTGAATGCAGTGGAGATGCGATCTCTTCGATTGAAAAATGACCTTATCACAAAAATTGATAGGGGCGTACTCCGATGGTTTGGGCACATTGAGCGAATGAGTGAAGACCGAATGGTGAAGAAAATATATAGCGCGAAAGTAAATATTAAAATTGTCGAGGTAGACCGAGATTAACTTTCGAAGACTATGTGAACAAATTACTCGAAGAGGGGAAGGTCAAGAGTACTCAGACACCTAGACGTGCATGTATGAAGAAGATAATGTCTTCTTAATGTAATCTTAACCTGAAAGAAGCGAAAGAGGTATGTAAGGATCGTCACACTTGGCGATCTGTTCACTCTGGCTACCCCGTTAGGGATTGTGCGTGAAGATAAGTAAGTAAGTAAGTACTAAGCTACTAATAGTAGTATATACAGTGTAAGTGACCAACGCATATTTATTTACAAGCAATATAATATATTTCCACTGTTTAAGCATCGTTATTTTGTATTTATTTAACTGACCTAAAAATATATTTACAAATTATAAGTATGCAAAACATTTACTTTATATTTTAAGATAATTTGTGAATACTGCATAAACTCTAAAATGTACGTAGGTCACTCAATAAGTTTTTTGATATACAAAAAGTAATATAGATACTATTAATATTTATTTTACATCTTTTCAAAATATTCTCCATCATGCTCTACACAAAGTTTCATTCGCCTAAACCAAATCTGAAAATACTTTTGCCAGTCTTGATCTGACAGGTCGGAAATCGCTTCTTCGTAGGTAACCACGGCTTCTTCGGCGCTTGAATAAAACTTGCCCTTAATTTTTCTTTGACTCTTGGGAACGAATAGAAATCACAAGGAGTTAAGTCAGGGCTGTAGAGTGGGTGACTTAGAGTTTCAACACCAGATTTCTCAATAAATATTTTTTTCTAAGGGTACCTGCCTGTACCCCTGTGAAGAGGCGTTATCGTGATGCAGCATGATCCCCCGGAGCCCGGTCTTTGGTCTTCTCTCCCGCACAGCTTTAAAAACTTTGGGTAATGCAACTGTAGTATACCATTCAGAGTTGACTGAACCACAATTTTCCAGCATAGCCGTTGACAAAATGTCCGCTCCGCGAAAAAAACTACCCAACATTTTTTCCGACGTCGCGAGGTCTTTGCAGTTTTGTCGGTAACTGGCCTTCTGAGTAGACCCATATCGATGTATAATATATATCTACGGTCAAACCAACACCACTGTGTGGTCGGTGAAATCACAGTGGTGGTTGTAATTACCCGTATTTTTATAATAAGGTTGAATTTGTAACAAAACTATATTCAAAAGGAGAAACTATTGTCAATAAATAACCACTACAGATAGTGTAATCTTTGGTGGAAAAAATATCGCAAATATCCCCCCTCCCTCCGGAAGCAGTTCATGGTAGACATCTATGTTCACAAGTGGATTTTATTGGGCTGTAATAGTAAACGGTATAACATTATGATAAAATTCGCCAAAATGGTTAATTTTCTTACAAATTGAACCACTAAAATTAGTCAAAAGAACTGTAAAATACGTTACATTTTACCGAAAATCGTTTGAAACACAAGAATATATAATAAAAGCTACAAGCTTACTTTCAAGATAGTTCTCGGTCTAATTATCTCCGTGAATCGTAGACTTACGTAATACCTGTAATAGTTGAGGACTTGCGCAAAAACTCCAGGATGGCGGTCAAAGAAATACTCGTTCAGCACAGGGTCGTAATTAGCGAGCGCTTCTGTCAAGCGTGAGAGCCTCGTCGCCGGTATTTTTTTGAGTGTCGCCTTGTACGTCTCGTGGCGTATTCCGCCGACGTTTAGAACAACGCGGTTTTCCGCGTCCATGTTTAGAAGATTCATTTCTGTTAAATTAAAACGAGTGTCAAATTAAAAATGATATCATTAATTTTTGTAAAATTTGGATCACATGATTAATAGTGATTTTAACCTTTATCGTAGACTTTTTTTGCAAAAGGTCTTTTGCACAATTGCACAGGGACGAACGTCCAGACCCATTTTTGTAGGCCATACAAATACTTGTTAGGTACGTGAGGGATTCGAAGCCGCAGTTCTCAGCGTCGCAACTCAATACTAAGTCACTCCGTTATGGAGCCCCCAAAAATTAACCAACAAGAAAAAAACTATTTTATAAAATCATATATGTGTAGACATAATATGTAAACTTCATTAATATTATCATTATATTAATTATATCAATTTAAGTAAAAAGAGAATAATATAAAATAAAGATTTTTCCTGAGCTTAAAAACGTTGCTTACGCTTTAGATAAGAACTTTTCACAGATTTTATATTCATGTATCCTTACCTGCGAAATCTCCTAAAATGGCGTTGAACAAAACTTGTAGAGCCTAACTACGGCGAGCTACGGCTCTGTCCACGACGTAACATTACCGCTATGTAATCATCTTCTAATCTATTTAGCTTTGTTTGCGGTGTCATCGCTGGTTTTAAATTAGAAGATTCTGTAAAGAAATAAAAGTAATTTAACTATAGTAGAATTCATTAACAATAATGTCGTGAGAGTTGATGGAAGTGGACGTGTACATATTTTTTTAAATTATTCCTTTAATAGTGACTAATTAAAATTGAACTTAGCCTACCCAGTTACGAATTTTTACTGTGCGGTGTAACATTACTGCTCGTCAATATTGTTGCGCGCCTAAGTTGACGTCAGGTACCTGGAACTAGCGCCATTTAGTGTCGGAGACCAGAGCGAGGGGCGCCTTCCTAGAAAATGCCTATCTTGACTTTCGACCAACAGTGTCATCTAGTATCTATAGAATTATATAATTAAGCTAATTAAGCTTTCTTGAAGCCCCAAACTCGAACTTTCTGCACCTGGTCGGTTGGCGCCCGTATTTACTTGAATATTCTGGATGTTTCGGTGAAAAAGGTGTATTTAAAGGCGCTGCAATATGCGATCGGAGCAGTATTGAATTTGGCGAGACAAGCGAAGCTTCTGAGTGAAATAAAGTGAATCAGTGTGATTAATTATTAGTGTCTTTTAAGTTTTAATTGGTGTAAAGTGAATTAAAGTGTTAATTTTGGTAATTAAATCGGCAGTTTTTATTGTCACGAACCTCAAGCTCGTAACAGTATTAATACTTGTGTTTATCTCGTTCTTGAATCGCATCTGAGAGTGGCAACTGAAGGACGCCCGCACCTCACCCCTTTAATACTAAGTGTAATATATCTTTATCTTATTACTCTTAGCTCATATCGCAAATATATCGTGCGTAATGTCCAAGTTACAGAGAACACCGCCTAAGTGCCCATCAAACCCAGAAATAAGCCTAACAACACTGGATGCTAATTATGTATATACACGTAAGCGTTTCACTGGAGAGTATGACTCGGAACTTCTGTCCACACTGGTTGTCGAATATTTTAATAAATTAGGCATACTCCTAAAGTTTAAGGAAACTATTACAAATGTAGTTACTTCCACGATTTTCAACGAATTGGCTAAAATATCCGAGCTGCGAGATGAGAAAATTAATTTAAAATAAGGTATTAAGGATTTAAATAATCATTTGTTGGAGGTCGATACTACTTTATCCGATCTTAATGAGCTGTCAGTCAATCGTTGGACACACGGCTTAAGTCCGTAGAAAAGCAAGTCTCTAACGACAACTTCTTATCTGACAAATTAGAGGTTATGTAGACTAAACTGGCTGGAATGAAGCAACAGGCACGTGACTGTAATATTGAAATATCAAATTTGCCTGAGCGCCGTGGTTAGATTCTTGTTACAGTCATTATTAATATTGGCGTGCTAACTTCGATCAACAATACCAAATATTGTTGTTGATAGAAGCGTGCTAATAAACCAGCATATCCAACCATCTGACATCATCTTGGCGCATCGGGTTCCTCATATTGGTGAAATTGATAAACGACCTAAAAATGCAATTATAAAATTTAAGTCCAAAATTTTGCATGTTAATTTTGTAGCTTCGAACAGTGATTTAACACTCTCCTCTCTTCTTTAGAAGGCTTAACTTCAGATCAGTTTTCTATCACTGGATCATCGAATAAAATATATATAAATGATCATCTAACCTTAAAAAATAAACATATATTTCGAGAATCCCGTGAAAAGGTCAAAACATATAACTACAAATATGTTTGGTACAAGAATGGTACAGGTACGAAAACCTGACTCATCTCCTGTCTTACCAATACGCTCGCTACAGGATCTTGAAAAAATTAAGCTTTCAAATAACTTGTAACAGAAATATGTTATTAATTTTATTTTTATTTTCTTGTCATTTATTTTTACACTTTTGTACTGATATTTGGAGGCATCAGTACGTTGTTCAAACATTTATTTCTACAAAAAGGTCAGTAACTAATTTTCTAGACTATTTTATAAAACTATACTTTAAAATATACTATGTATTATGCAACAAAATTTTACATCATCTAATTGTTATACACAAAACGTTAACATAATTAACATATCTTTATTCATTAATCATTATGCACAATTACGGCGCAATTATAAAAGAAGTTTTAAAAATTCATCTCATCTACTTAATTTAAATTGTGTATCAAAAATTAATCTCATTTTTTTTTCAAAATATTGCTAATGGAATACTCAATAAATTATGACCCATTATTTAATGGCTTCCAAAATAAGAATAAAAAACATATCAATTTACTATGAGAACTGTCGAGGCTTAAGAACTAAGTTGCACTCTCTTTTTATGAATATTTTACTTCACGATTATGACATAATAATATTGACAGAAACTTGGTTTCATAGTGGAATTTATGAATTTATGATAACAAATCAATAGATCAACATTAAAGAGTATATCGCAGCGATTGAAATCGGACGGCGACCGGCCATAAACAGGGCGTTCATGCTATCGTATCTTCTAAGAAATTTCATTGTTGGTTAAACTACCGCCATCTAGTCATTGCTTTATGAAACACTTAATTTTTTAAATTTATAGCTGCCCTGGAATCTTGCATTTTTAACTACTTTATGTAAATCAATCAAGATAGTGTGGCCGCCACAAAAAAATTTGCTTTATTAATAATAATTCTAATGATAGGCATAAAGGAAATAATAAAATTGAAATCAAATTCTATTAAACAAGTTATTGTTATAAGTTATTATATTTATTTACTAAATTAAAAATATCATCATCATAATTATCATTACAGCCCTTCACAAGTCTACTGCTGAATATAGGCCTCCCAAGGTATGCCACAAAGCACAGTCCTGAGCCGCCTGCATACATTTTGACTTTCTGAATGTCTTACCAGGTCGTCAGTCCATCTAGGTCACCCTACACTTTGCCTACCGTTACGAGGCTGCCACTCGAGAACTTTTTCCCCCATCGGTGGTCGGTTCTTCGAGATATAAGGCCGGCACATTGCCACTTCAGCTTACTAATCCGTTTTTCTATGTTGTTCACTCTGGTTCTACTGCGGATATCCTCATTTCTAAGTTTATCATGCAAAGAAACTCCGAGCATAACCGTCTCAATAGCTCGCTGAGCGACTTTGAGCGTCATCATACGGCCAGCAGTGAAGGATCACGTCTCGATTCCGTAGGTCATCACTGGCAACACGCACTGGTTGTAAAACTTAGTTTTAATGTTTTGAGGTATACTTGACGAGAAGATGCGTCGTGATTTCCCGAACGCTGTCCAGTAGAGTTGAATCCGTCGATTGACCTCTCTGTCGAAGTTAGACTTACCTAGTCGGACTATTTGTCCCAGTCGAGCTTAGTGCTCCCAACAACTACCGGCATGGACATTAAACATGTTCTTTGTTTTGTCCATGTTCATCTTAAGACCTATCCGTGGGGATGCACTATTGAGGTCATTGAGCATAGTACTTAAATCCTCCAGCGATTCTGCCATAAGGACTATACCGTCGGCAAATCGAAGGTGACTGATGTACTCGCCATTGATGTTAATACAGTATCATTTCCAGTCCAGAAGCTTGAAAACGTCTTCCAATGCAGCGGTGAAGAATTTCGTGGAAATAATGTCTTACACCTGTCTGTCTTACACCTCTCTGCAGTTGGATAGGTTTCGTACTCTGGTTCTGTACTCGGATAGCCATCGTAGCCCTACTGTACAAACACTTCAGCACTTTGATATAGCGACAGTCAACTTGGCATCGCTGAAGAGACTGTAGCACCGCCTAAATTTCGACGGAATCAAAGACTTTCTCATCTCTGGCAGATTGTACTCTTCGGACTTCTGTACAATTTGCCGAAGGGTATGTATGTGGTCTATGGTACTAAAGCCTTTTCGGAAACCGGCTTGTTCGGGAGGCTGGAAGTCATCGCGTCTGCGTGCGAGACGATTCGTAATGACTCTCGAAAACAGCACATAGACGCGGCTTAGAAGGTAAATCGGTCTGTAGTTCTTCAAGAGAGCGTTGTCACCTTTCTTGAAGAACAAGACCACCGCACTTCTGCTCCACACCTCCGGAGTAGTGCCACCATGGAGGACGGCATTAAAGAGCCTCTGAAGGACTTCAAGTATGGGTTTTCAGAAGCTCCGCTGTAATTCCATCCTCGCCCGGAGACTAGCCGTTTTTAAGGTGCTGGAGAGCCATTCTAATATCGCTCAGACTGACGTCCGGGATATCATCGGAATAGTATCGGATAAGACTTGCTCTTGGATCGTTACTCACTCTGGCTTTTACTGGCAGACAGATCTCTGGCAAAGACTTTGGAGCCCTGGTTCCGCTCAATCGCTTCTTCAATACGAGCAGTATTTAATTTGCGTAAGTCTCGCTGCATGCATTTGGAGATCTGTCTGTTCAGTTGCCTGTATGCTGTCAAATCTGTTGACGATTGCAGCCTCATCTCCCGTCTAACAGCCATGAGATTAAGAGTGTGATCGAAGAGTTTTGTGTTCTTTTGCGGCCGGTCTTGCAAAACTTAGGTTCGATCGCATGAACAGTTTCCACGAGCTTGTAATTCATATCGTTCACTGTATTGCAATCTTCTCGACACTGAAAGCGGTTACGTAACTCGAGCTGAAATATATTATGTACTACCGTGTCGCTGGCATTTAATTTTCGTTGTTACACATATATTTAATAAAATATATGTATATGTCTATGTTATGGGCCAAGTAAATAATAGGGCATTATTCATAATGTCTATGGTAAATATTAAAAAACTATGGAAATAATTAAATTAACCGGGCTTTATGAATGAAGTACGTTACTTATTAGGCTGAGTAATAAAAAGATAGGTTAGGTTAGGTTGCGACCGGACAATGTGACTAACAATGAAGTTTTCAATTCAAAGTAACATTAAAAAAGGTATAAAGCATTTCTGGACATATAATATAATATC